ATGAACTTTTAAAGTGTACTAAACTGCATTAAGCCCTTGTGTGGATGCTCTTATTCAGAAACATATTACTTTGGAAGTGAACTAAACTAAATCAAGTGAAGGGCACTTTCATTCTGAATAAAAATGTTTACAAGGATTAAATGCAGGAACAGAGCTTCCTAATCAAGTTTATGGATGACATAACACTGAGAGGGCTTGCAGGCATTTTGGTGGGTAGGATTAGAATTGAAAAGGATCTTGATAAATTAGAGAACAACAAAACAAATTCAACAAAGACAAATGTAAGTTGTTGCCCCTAGACAGGAAAAGTCAAATGCACAAGTACAGAGAGGGGGATAGCTGGCCTGGCAGCAGCACAACAGAAAAGGATCCAGGGGTTATGCCTGATCACAAGCTGGACCTGTCAGCAGTATGATGCTATTGCAAAAAAAAATGTAATGGGGTGGCTGCATTAACAGAAGTATTTTATGCAAGATGCGGCAGGTGATGGCAACATGTTACTCAGAGCTGGCTAGGCCTCCACTGGAGTACTGGGTGCAGTAATGAGCTCTGTCTTAAGAAGGATGCAGAGAAAGTGGAGATGAATCAGGGAGAATGACAACGACAGTAAAGGGGTTAAAATGCAGGCTGAAGAAGGAAAGGCAGGGAGAGCTTCTATGCTTATTTGAAGAAAAGTAGATTTGGGGTGGAGGCATGACCGTTCTCCCTTTTCCTCATGGCAGTTTTCAGGTATTTGAAAGGCTGCCACAAGGAAAAGGGAGAACGGTTCTTCCTGCCACAGCAGCCAGGACAGGAAACAGTGCGCTTGCACTGCAGCAGAGCAGATTCAGATGAAAGCTCAGAAATAACCTTCCCAACTTGAAGAGCATCAAGACAGTGGAACCGGTGGCCACCAGGGGAAGTTGTGGGACCTCCTCCACTGGGGTTTTCAAGAAGAGGTTGGAAGGGCATTTGCCTGGGGTGGTTTAGGAGCAGCAGACTCTGCACCTTTGCAGAGGACTGGACTAAATGACCCTGGATGGCCCTTGCAACCCAGGACTCTGTTCTGCTTTTGCTTTGAAATTCCCCTTTTCCCTAATTCCAATTAATTTGCTTCACCATCCTTATGTAGACAAAGCCCTGGGTCATTCATCTAGTCTCCATTGTGTTAGCGCAAAGATTTCATAGACGTTAGGGCTGGAAGGGACTTCGGAAGATCATCGAGTCCAGCTCCCTACCCCAGGGGCAGGAAGTTAACTGGGGTCAAAGGATCCCAGCAAGATAAGCGTCCAAACGTTTCTTGCAAGAGTCCAGAGTAGGTGCTTGCACCACCTCTGGCGGCAGTCTATTCCAGGCCTTGGGGGCTCAGATCATAAAGAAGTTTTTCCTTATGTCCAGCCTAAAACAGTCTTGCAGGAGTTTGTGACCGTTAGACCTTGTCATCCCTTGGGGCGCTCTGGTGAACAGGCGTTCCCCCAGATCTTGATGCACACCCCTTATATACTTATAGGCTGCCACCATGTCACCCCTGAGCCTGCACTTCTCCAGGCTGAAGAGTCCCATGGCTCCTACTTGTCCATAAAGCCCATTCTCCTGCTCTCTGATCATGCGCGTGGCTCTCCTCTGGACTCTCTCAAGCTTCTCCACGTCCTTCTTGAATTGTGGAGCCCAGAATTGGACACAGTACTCCAGCTGCAGCCTCACCAAGGCCGAGTCCAGTGGGAGGACGACATCCTGAGATTTGCTTGAGAAGCATGCCCCTTGCCAAAGGGCGTGCAGAAAAATCCCATAGCTTCCAGGCTTTGCCAACCCAGCCTGGGGTAGAAACCCCTTCGGGAGCCCAAGTGACCATGAGCAGAAGAGCAAGATCCTCCTACAAGGAACCTCTTGGCTCCTAACTACAGGCAGGAGCCTTTGGACCCATAGGCCTTAGCTGTGGCCCAGGTCCCAAGCCTTGGACCATGCTGGGGAACTCCTAGGGTGTTAAAAGGTGGTGCAGGCTCCCACCCTGGGGGTTTTTAAGAGGAGGTTGGATGACCACCTTACTGGGGTCATTTGACCCCAGTGCTCTTCCTGCCATGGCAGGGGGTCGGACTAGATGATCTGCTCAGGTCCCTTCCGACCCTAGAAACTATGAAACTATGAAAAGCAGTAAAGTGAGGGGACCCATGACACAGCAGTGATCATCCTGGCTGTGTGGGCATGTACTCTGCAATCCCACTGCACCCTGGACCAACAGAGGGAACTAATCTGAGTCCCATGTAGTCTGCAATCACACTCCTGCTGGCAGCCCTAGGGAACCCCAGGGAAGGCAGGGCTGAGCAGGGGTAATGGCTACAGCAACCTGAGGGAGGCAGGAATTACACACTCAGGTCCTGAGCCTGCCAACGAGACCCCCTGTGACCCAGAGCAGGCACTGCCTCTTTCGGTGCCCTTCCTTTTCCATAAAACAAGATGCCACTTGTTAAAGCTCTCAAGGGCCAGGCATTGCTAATAAAGCCCTGGCTACCACTGGCAACAGGAGCAGTCTTGCCCCCGGAGTGCAAGACCGACTGTTCTGCAAACACGGGGCCCAGGCACCAAGCGTAGGTTTGCAAACAGCAGGTTCTGCTAGGAGGAGTGAGCGGGGCTGAGTACGAAGCCAGGTTTCAGCCGCCCAAGCGCTTTCCAAATCCGGGGTATTCTGACCCTGGATTTGGCCTGCAGCTATGAGGGGCTGAGGCAGGAGGGCTGGCTGCGAGCGAGCTCCCATCCCGGTTTCTCGCAGCAGGAAGCACTGTGGGGGGGAACAGGACTCCTGGATGGGGGAGTTCCCAGGTACTCCAGTCCATCCCCCCAGGCCAGATGTCTGCGGGGGAGGATTTCACGGTCTGTCCTTTCCTTCCCCTGCAGGAGCCGTGGTGGGGAGCAGCGTAGGAGGCCTTTGCAGAGGTTCGCAGAGCCCTTCTACTCCTGTGCACAAAGCTGCTCGGAAGAAGCAGCTGCGCTCGTACAGGCTCCTTGGACCTTCTGGATCCCGTTTAGCCACAAGGGGCTGGGGCTGGGGCCAGGCTTTTGTGCAGCAGAGTGGAAGGAAGAAAGCTCTTCCCTTTGGCAGCTGCTTGGGCTCTGACAGCTTGGCCTCCTGTTTGTGGGTCCAGTAAAGCCAAGAGTGGCGGATTGGGCTGGAGAAGGAACAGAGAAGTCCCTCCACGCTGCAGGGCCTCTGTGGTTGGGTAGGCAGTGCTGGGCGGATGCAATGGCCGAGGTTTCTTTAGAAGAAAAACCAGCAAGGAGTTAGCGTGAACATGGGCAGCCCAGGCCCAGCGTTAATTTGTGTTTCATTTCCTTGTCTGGCTTTCTGTGTGTGGCAGGAATAAACAATATAAGTCACCCCGCTCAGCTCCTCCAAAGACTCCAGTTGTTGCAATAACAGTGTTTAGCTGAGAATGGCAACCAGCAACCCTGCATTTGCGCAGCTCAGGGCTTCTTTCTTGTTTTTGTGTCTTGTGAGCTCGTGGCCAGAGCCGGTGTGAGTGCCTTTGTGCCTGCTTTGTGTTTCGCCTGGCTCCTGCGTTTCTGCGCAAAATGGCGCATTGGCAGGTTTGTGCTGAGCTGTGTGCCTCTGCCTTGCCGAGCACCTGGGATGTGCGCATCCCGAGTTTTTATTTGTGTGCATTTTGTGTATGCTTGTACACCCGCTTGCAGTTTGAGCATGGGTGTTTGTATGTTAGCGTTGATTGGGATATATTTCTGTAGAGAGAGGAGGCTATTCCATATGCGAGTGCTGTTTCTCTGGTTTTGCATGCATATTTTATGCATGTGTGTGCATGTACGCGCGTGCAGCATATGTCTAACTATGCTTAAGCTGTTTGCATGCACACGGGTATTTTGTGCATTTTTGTGTGCATATACATCTGCACGTTTCACACATGCCTTTATGTGTGTGTGTACATGCACACTTGTGTGTTCCAAACGGACGTGACACCCACAGCACGGAAGGGTGAAAAAAAGAGTTTTAAAAAAAAAACAATAAATAGAAAAGAAGCCACAAACCCTTGAAACCACAAACCACTACAACGGAGCCCATGCATCCTTCCATGGACCCATTCATATCTTCCCTCGGTCCTTCATAAATCGGCTTCTATTCCTTGTTCATTCAGAAATGAGGGAGGCGGGGGGCGTGAACCGCAGTGAAGCAAACCCAGTCATGGAGAGCCCGTTGCAGTGGATTCCACCCCCCCGCCCCGCACACCCCCTCAGACACACAAACACCGTACCATAATGTTAGGACAGCCTCTTCGGATGAAGTGACCACCCACAAACCCAGACCGGACTAGAGTGAACTGGAGTAGCACAACCAGCCAATCTGCCTGCACTTCTTTCCTTTTGACTTTTTGGGGGAGATGGGGCTGGCACTGGGGGGAGGCCGAGATCCAGTGCAGTCCTAGGATTATTTCAGCGCCATGGTGCATTAGTTTATACTGCTTAAGGCCCCCGTCCCCTCCCCGCTGTGTTGCTATTTCAACACTTCCGCTCTGTTTTGGGGCTTTTTTCCTCCATTTCTGTTGGGGGGGGGGTGCATTTTTTGTGCTCCAGGATGCTGACTGAAGCCGGCCGATCTATGGTGGCTGCGAGGCGCTGGAGTGCTGGGTGCCCTTCGGAGTAGCCTGTGTCTGGTCCTGTCTCCAGCGAAGCAGCATGGAGGTCACTGGCACACCCATGGCTGGAAAAGCTGCAGAGAGCTCCGTGAAATGGCAACTGTGCTACGACATGACAGCCAAGACCTGGTGGATGGTGAGTTGGACCTAAGAGTCTCTGGGGTTGAGTTCTTTGGGAAGGAAAGGGCTTCTGGTAACTGGGGTGTACATTTCCAATGGTGTGTACATCAATGGAGAACTGCTCCGTCTCAGAGCAAGGAGGCCAGCCAGGGTCTCATCCAAAAGTCCCCTGGTATATCTTTAGGTCTATACCCATCACTGGAGCAAGATGGGCTTGTTCAGGACCTAGCCAGCTTGCCAGTGTCTCCGCCTTGTGATTGTGTGTCCCCTGAATCCATCATCGTTTAATGAGCTTTTGCCTGTGAGTTTGTATATTCACTTTCTGTGTGAGCATGTGTTCAAATCCAGCCGGGATTCAGAGGATCCTAAGGCTGTTGGGTGCCCCAATTCTGTTGCATCGAAATGGAAGTTTGATGTCTAACTTCTGTAGCCTTACGTGCATCTGGGTGCCTGTAAAAGGAGTCTGTGCAGGGAGGGACTCTGTGCGTGTATGTGTTGGGATTTTGTGATGGTGTTTGCAATGCTGGTGCAGCTGACAAATAAGAGATAAGACATTATCCATTCCTGGAATAACCTCTGGGCTCCTTCCTGGCACAGTGTTGACCACCCTGAATCCTTGACCACATGGGCAGGTGTGGTTAGTTCCTCAAAAGGACCAGGCATTGGTGAATGGAAATCTGCAGTTTTCTATCGTTCTGATCAAACAGGGAAAAACCTTCCCTCCCCCAAAAAAGAAATCTTCGGCTGTTTCTGTACTAGCTGGGCCCTGCTAAGAACATTCAACTTTCTTTGGGCTTTGGATCAGGTCCTATATTTCCCCAAATCCTCCCTTTCTTTTCACCATCCCTTCTTTTTTCTCTTTTTTTCTTCCTTCCTTCTTTCAGTCTTATTCTCTCCCGTTCAGTTTGGTGGCTGGTTGGTGGATTGATTTATTGTCATTGCGTTGGATTTTTTTAAAATCTAAGTATTTTACACAATTGCTCTGTTTGGCTGAACATTTCTTTTTGCCTTCCCAGGCATCAAAATCCTTTGCCGTTTGGCAACAAGCAATAATCCCCAATTTATACACGAGAGTTTCTTGGTTTTAATAGCTGTGTTTTATTCCAGTTAAGCTGTCGTGTTTGTCTCTCTGTGATTTCATGTAGAAGAGAATTCATGTTTTCTAACTTGCATAGGGAGCTGATTCCCCAAGCCTCTCCGCTGTTGTGCAGTTTTTTGAACCAGGATACACACGCCAAGTTATTATGGAAAGTCCTTGCTTAGACCGGCTATCAAGAACAAAGGCCTCATCTACACAGTTTTTTGTTATCAGTATAATTATTACAGTTGGGGGCATGATTTTTGACTGCAATCAGTACAACCCGGAGGGTGGTCGAGTATACTTGCCTCCAGGTGCCATACTCTGGTTAAGTTTATTACTTTTCTCCTAGAGGAATAGCTATACCAGTCTAATACCTTTTAGATAGATGTAACTGCAGTCACACTAGTGGGGGATTATATCACGGAAACTGTATTGTAAAAAAAAAGAAATCCTGAGCCAATTATACTTCTAAAAAGTTAGGTGTCCTTAGTAAAAACCAACACTAACACTCTTATTCTGGTTAACAACTGGTTATCTCTGTTTGACTGATGCCTATACATTTATCCATACAAGTAACACAAGCTTGTAACTGATGTCAGTCTGAAACTCTAGTGATTTAATGAAATCAGTATAAAAATCACGTGGAAAGGGCTTGCCTGTATAGCAAATGGGACAGAACTTGGTCAATATGTGGTAGTTTTCCTTTTGGTCATTTCAATTTGGGTATGTGCAGGTATCTTTTTGGCATAAAAGATTCCTATTTCAGTATAATTGAGGTGGATTCATTTCCAGGGTAACTACACTGATATAAAGTCAGCTGTGTTGCCAAAACATTAGTGTCCACCCAGAGACTTTAAGCAGAAATAACATGGGTGTGAATGTAACCAGTTCTATTCCATCCCCATATGGACAAGCTCTTAGTTAAGCTGCTGCAGCTTTGGCTTTGACATCACTTTTTTTTACAAGAAGATAGTTATCTAGATTGAAAATGCTAGTGGAGACCAAGTACAGGTTACTTTGATCTTAATGCAGCTAGTCAAGGTCAACGCTAGACCCTCCACCACTAGGGACTGACTGTTAACAACTGGAGAGCTCTGTAATCTCACATGTAGAGAGCTGCCTCCACATAAAAATTGTGCCTTATTTTACAGGGAAGACAAAATCCAAATCATACCAGTTTAACCAGGAGTTCATCCATGTGAATGAATGAACTGTGTGCAAACTCTTTGCCTTTTCATTGCACATCTGTGTGGATGCTGGATGGGAGAGATGCCCCTTTTTGCAGTGGAGACACAGCTAGATCTAGATTTAGGAAGAGACTCCCCTGGGAGAGTCTGTCTTTATCAGTTCTGTCCTTATCAAAGACAGGCAATGGGGCTACGGGGCCCTTGGGTCAGATGCAAGCTGGTAAGGCCCATGCATACTTGGCACTCATTTTGGCTGAGTGTAAAAGTGACACAAGGTGTAGACACCTGGTGGGGGGGTCTCTGATCTCACTGGATTTAGTAAGAAACTATAACACTTTGAAACACAACAGTAAAAACTTTGTAAAGGGCCTGCACTTGGTGCAGTTAATGCTGTCCTAGGAGCATGCACTGAAAATTGCTAGGAGTTTAACTAGGTGCCTGCTTTTTTTTTAAAAAGTCTTTATTAAGCCATGAGAGCACAACTCTCCTTGGATGTAAATCAGTTAAATATCTGCTTTCATAGGAAAAAGGGAACAGCTGATTAATGCCTGGTCTGGAGGGGTCAAGCTATTTACCGTATTATCTGAACAGATCACACTGTAATGGATTGTACCCTCGCAACTCCCTCTTTGCATGAGGCATGGGGGCATTATCTCCCTGGGGAACTGAAGCAAAGAGAAATGAAGTGATTCATCCATGGACTGATAAGAAGCTTGTGATTAAGTTGGGAGTTAAACCCAGGTCTTCATACACACGTCCATAGTCAAAAAGCCAGCCTTGGCTTTCAGCCCTTCTCAGGACGCCAGCCGCTCTAGACCATTGAATCTCCCTTGGCATTTTTGCCCTCTGGAGTAGAAGTGGGTTGCAGTACAATCCAGGTTAACACTTCAGGGAACTTGAATCCAGGCTTCCAACCTGGAAACATCAGTGGTTTAAGATCCTCTCCCCAGAGTGGGGTGGAGGTAGGTAGGGCTGTGATTTATGCCAAGCTCTCAGAGTAGGTTGCTGCAAGGCACCTTAGGGTGGCAAAGCTTGTGAAGTCCCATATAAGTACCAGCTGTCAAACCTTGCAGGGACATTGTAGTTCATGTGACATTTCACCAGAGCTAGGAAGTTGGTCTCTGGGCGCCGTGGAATATAGCTGATCTGAGACTATTCCCACCTAAGCAGAGCTCCAAGGAGTGTCGGAAATGGACTGCACACATCAGCAATCAAATATAAGTGTACATGTTACAGAGCTTGGTTTGTTTGTTCTCCAAGTAAAGACAGCAGCTCAGTTTTACATGGAAGAAAGGCAGGACTTCCTAACTGTGCTGGTGATCAACCCTTAGAGCAAGCTATCAAGGAATGCAATGGAGTCCCTATTTCTGCATGTGCTCAGACCAAAACACAAGAGCTACTTTAGCCAAACGCAAGTTCGTGGTCTCGTAACAGGAGTGACTGGAAGAAAGGCTCTGGCCTGTGTTTTCCAGAAGGTCAGACAAGGTGTTCGAATGGCCCTTCTGATCCTAAACCCTATGAATGAAGCATGTCAGGTTCCTAGGCTAAGCAAAATGACAGAGCCTGTGGTTGGCAATGGGTGAGGAGCCCCTATCTATGCACCTGGACACGCAGGCACACTTTACACTCAGACATTTGGTGGTGAGGCTGCTCAGGGTACAGCTCTGAGGCTGGTCTCAGGCACTTGGTCCAGTGTGTTTTAACATGGGGATGAGCCTGCAGTGGCCTCAGCAGCAGTGCATCGCTAGGTTTGCCAGGTCATG